TGAACCTCTCGATACTACAGAATTTCCTGAAAGACCTTGGCAGTTAGTAGGAATTTATTTCTTCCACATAAAAACTTGTGATTATCTATTAATGATAGATTACTTTTGAAAATACATTGAAGTTGCAGATATGAGTAGGGGCAAAGGAGCAGCCAATGTTATCAACAAATTGAAGGATGTATTTGCGAGACATGGAATTCCTGAAGAGATCAGATCTGATAATGGACCTCCTTTTGACAGTGGTGAATTTGCTTGTTTTGCAAAAGAATGGGGCATTCAATTAAGTTCATCTAGTCCATACTACCTACAATCAAACGGTGAAGCAGAAAGGTCAGTGCAAACAATAAAGAACATCCTGAAGAAGGAAAAAGCCAAGTATTAGGCATTGCTGGCTTACAGGCTTATGCCACTGCAGAATGGTTTTTTGCCTGCAGATTTATTAATGGGAAGAAAACTGCGAACAACAATTCCTGTCTTTCATACTCAGCTCAAACCAAAGTGGCCGGATTTCAGAAAGCTGAACAACAAAGAAAGTGCCTACTGACAAGAAGTGAAAATCACAGATCAAGAGAAACCTGCTATTGTTGTTGAAAAGGGGCAGAGTCCAAGGCAGTACATAATCAGAACACCAACTTCAAATGTGAAGTGTAACAGAGTTCAAATCATGTTGCTACCATCTTCACCGCCTACAGGAGCAACAACATTGTCAGAGGAAATTATAATCAATAAAATACTTAAGAAAGGGAAACGTTGTGTTAATGCAATATGCATTATTATAAAGCTTGTACTTGATTTACAGGCACATATGGGAATAGTTATTTATAAACAACCGGTGTATAACGGGGGCTCAGCTGAGCTCAGGATGATCTAGTTTTCAGTGAAATCTAAGTGAATGCTTTATTGACTTCTCTGAAACTCAACAGTTAGTATGATCACCACTAATTTGAACACCAACAACAGGGCTGTACTAGTCCTACCCATCTGTTGTTTTTGAAATGTGTTTCTATTTTTTGCCTAGCAAAGCCCTGTCGTTAAATTTATGAACCAAAGTCTACATCATTTTCCAAGTACATAGCCAAAGAGTTCATGTTTACTATGTACGTGGCTTCTTGTTTATCATGGGTTTGCACGCTGAAAAAAACCTGAGTTGTACGCCTAATTTACGAAGATCTTCGGGCCTAAGTACATGGAGAAATGCACCCTAGGCAAGCCAATTTTCTCTTTCTCTGCTCCCAAAGTTTAAGTTTTCCCGCAAGACCCACTGCCCAATATAAGCTATCAAAAAGTTTCGGTTTAAGCTTCATCCCAAAATCATTGGTTTAAACCAACGTGTGTAAGTAGTCCATTTCAAACCAGTGCGCTAAGACTTCACAGTCTGCTCCCCAGGACGAAAGAAATCTATAATATAGTCAACATTGGTTGTTAGACTTACTTTGTCATCCCATGTAGAACCAGCTTTCAACGCTCTCTTTAGAGCAGATCCTTCTTGAACGGGGTCGGTTATTTTGCCATTTTTCTTGGCATTTGATCGATGCATTCTTGCTAATGAAATCTGTACGAAATCAAACTTCTTTGTGCATAGATCAGTGATACGAAAGGAAGAAATTATGTTTCGGCCTCGTTTCTATCACGATCTTTACGTTTGAGTTTGTCATGTCAAGACAGTTTGGCATCTTAAAACGCATTTCAGCAAAAAAGTTAAATAAACTGAGAAAGTAGCAGCCAATCGCCCAGACCTTTTGATTTTTGAAATTTTGGTTGTCTTCTTCCATAGCAATAGAGGATTAATAAAAAACCAAAAACTCCATTGTTCACGATTGTTATATGTGCTTTTTTGCGTTGCGTCATACACTCTTTTTTTATACATAAGAACACACTTTATAAAAACACTGAGGCTCGATTTGCCCAAAAAATGAGAACAAGGCTAGAATATGCTCAGGTTCAGATGAGAAATTAAAAAAAAACAATTCGAATTTTAAAATTTATGTCATGTCAACAGAACAAAACTATGTAAGTTTGTCCATAAACACAAGCAACCATTGCTTTATTTTTAAACTTTACCCGGTAAAACGTCTTGGATCAGTAAAACGTCAGTAAAACAGCATGTAACTTCCCAAATATTTGCAAAAAATCACATTTAAAATAAGAACAATTTTGAGAACATTTGAGTCTAAAATTATAGAAAAGTTAAGAGCATCGAGGATCGGCAAAAATTATCTGGTTCTTATAAAAAAAGAGTGTACATTAAGTTCCAAAAAATTCGGTATCAAAAATTTCGGCAGATTGATTCTCGGTGGAAAGAATTTCGGTCATATTTTTCAAATTTCAGTACAAATTTCGGTGATTATAAATTTTGATCGCTTGCGAGTTAAAAATTGAGGCGTCCAAATTTGAAAACACTGGAAGGTTAGAAAAATAGAAATTTTGCGAATAGAGAACTCAAGCCAATAGAAGCGGCAAAGAAGCATCAGTTCAGCCAATAGAGAACTCAAGTTTCTTGAATGTTGAGAGCGAAAATGAAGCAAGTGAAGATAAGCTGGATATCTTACTTTTTGGTGACAAAGGAGAACCAGACACTGAAAATTGATATGTCCTGGATGTATAGTTATACTAAAACAATATCAAGGAAAAATTGTTTTTTGCTTTTTTGGAAGTCCATCGGTGGAGATGAGATTTTTCTAAAGTTTGAAAATTTCGGTATGAAAAAAATTCGGTTTCAAAAGAACTCTTTGGAATTAATCTTAGGTTGCCCTGCATCACCGAAAATAAATCCCACCGAAATTGTTTGTAGTTGATGTATGCTGAAATGTGAAATCATAGAAATAGTAGCGCTACCATTTCTATGGCTGAAATCGATCGTCTCTTACCTGACCTTGCTGATCCTTAACATTCCTTGTCAGCGGTAAATTGCTGACTCAATATTTTTCAAACGGAGCATGAAATCTCTGGATTCAGAATTATTTTCCAATTATAAACGGATTATTTTCCACAAACCATTTTCAAAATTGCAATGAGAAACTACATCGCTTTCGGCTAACGCTTTTTTATACAAACTTTTCATAGAAATACCATTTTCTAGATGTTTTGAAATGGAGCAGCAGCTGCGTTACATAAACACGCATAATGTAAAATAAAGTAAAAGATCCTGTCAACAAATCGAAATCATGTATTTAAAACAGTGAGATCCCAATATAACCTACTCTGAAGGGAACTAGAAAAAATTCGTTATATCGGGAGTTCGTTAAACCGGGAGAAAACGTTTTTAGGTCTTTTCGAAGTACACGCCTAAAGATACTTTTGGTAGGCTTGTTTAGGCTATCTCCAAATTCTGTGACCATTTCACTCCACAAAACCAAGCTGAATTCAAATACCTATAATGGTTAGTCATCAAAAATGAAAATCTTTATGTTTCTCTTATAATTTGGGACCAAGAGTTTGGCAAAGCTAGATCACTTCACTTCTAGTTAGCGGCCGAATGACGTCTTCGAGTACTTCACATCTTTAATTGTGTATTTCTATTCACATTCAATTTGGGTCTCCCAATAAAATTTTGTCATCACTCATGTCTCATATGTAAGAAAGTGTTCGTTAGTGTCAATGTACTTATTCGCAGCTATTTCAGACTTTTCAAACTTTAATCTAATGCTTTGAGTCTATCAGCCAGTGCTTGAAATGATTCATAAGCATATTTTGCCGATGACAATGACGATTTCCCCCCAAGAGAAAGTGATAAATGAAAACCGAAAACAATAAAGCATAAAAAATGAAAAATTTATGTCACATTCGTCATATCGAGAATAATTATGATGAAGGGACCCAAAATTTGGTTTGTAATATCGAGAGTTCGTTATACTCGGAGTTCGTTATACCGAGAGAATTTGTAAGGAATTTGCCAGGCAGAATCCAAGGGACCAGACCTTCAGTTCGTTATACTGGTAAGTTCGTTATACCCGACGTTCGTTATATCGGGGTTCCACACAATCTCATCAATTGTTTCAAACATTGTTTCACACTATAAATAGCACTTTTCATGAAAATAGTCTTTGGTATAATCCTTAAGAGCAAGGACAAATCGAATCTCTGAAAGACATGACTTTATGTAGAATTTCCTGAAGGAAAATTTTTGAAAACAGTTATTCTTCAAAGATAATGGGAATGGCAGTACAAACAAATAATATCATCGTTCTCATCATCTTTCAAAGACACCCTCACTTTCTTCTTCTTTTTCCGTCTTATCTGACTCAGCAGTGTCTTTGCCTTCGAGGAATGCCTGATATCATAACTTCAGCCAGAAGCGGACCAGAGGCCGGAAGGGCGCTGGGGGAGGGGGTGGGGCTAAGATGGATAAGAATAGTATAATTGGGTTTATAGACTATCTTACCGTTTGTGGCTTTACCCCAGCCAGAACGTTTCTCCTGGCCTCGAGCTTGGCAAGAAGACCCTTTTTGAAGATTTAAAATTTTAAGAAATATTAGCACATATACCTTTAAACAAGTGACAAAAAATATTAACGTAAAAGAAGAAATTGTACTTTTTTAATTTTTTTCTATCTATTTTAGAAACTTTGACCTCGGAGGGAGACCTGAGATGGTTAGTTCAAATACGAATATTTTTCACAAGAAACTAAAACTTTGAGCAAGTTCTATATTCAAAAGTTTTAAAAAACATTTTTTCAAGCTCAGATACTCGGGGATTTATCCGAATTTCTTAAGAGTTTAATAACAATCTAAAAGTATATGCATGAATCAATAACTTGTTGTGGTTTTGCTTTCAACATCCAAAAAACTGGTCATCATTTGTCCGGAAATTTATTTGCTCGAATTTCAAAACTACGTCCAAAATAATTTCGCCGAAGTTTATTGTAAATACCCTTAAGTTCTGTAGAAGTGCTTTTTCGTTAATAGGTGTTGAGGTCACTTTGTATAAATTTTAAAACAGAAAGCGTTAATAATTAGTTCAGTATTATTTTCCAATCAAGGTAACAAGAAACACACCAATGATAATCACACAGGACTGAAAAATCATGTTATTTCATGGATAAGAATTAAAAGACGATAAATAAAACTATCTTCTAACGCGCGTTGCAGAATACATAAGATCCCTAAACAATATGTTAAAACAGCCAAAATTACTGTTTCATTTAAACAAAGGCAATATAAGATTTCGTTGTTGAAAAGCAACTAACTTATAATTTAAGCTTCTTGCAAATAGTGAGGAAGAGAGTAAAAACCTGGTTTATTTGCTCAAAAATGAATGCCAATCAAAACATTTTGACAGTTATTATTTCGCAGTTAAAGAGTTAAAAAATATCACAGGATGGGTGAAATTATCATACAACGGTGAATCTTTACAAGCCTTACTTTGATTATTGGAAAAGATAATAGCGGAATATGCAGTGGTGCATTCACAACTGAAATGAGAATGGATTACTCTTTAAATTACAACGACTTCCCACATAGATATTCAACGAATCAAAAAAATATGATACATATATTTTCATAACATGCAGCTGTGTTCGATTGAAACAAGAGTTATATAATACAATAGACAATTCGATCGCGTAGCTGCTCTATATGATTTTAATGTGAGTGGCATGCTGCATCTTCAAGCTCTCGACAGCTTGCCAAATCGTTTTTTGGTCTCGAAATTAGGCGTCATTGCCATAGTTAATGGTTTTTCGCTCGGCTTCACTTCAAAGTCCCCAAAATTCCTGACAGGATTTGCTTTGTGAATAGTTTGTTTCCTGAGGAGAGCAAATTGCCGTTCTTCTTCCTCCTTTCTCTCTTTTAAAACCTGTTGCATCTCGTCTTCTTTTATTCTTTGCATTTCTCTTTTCATTATTTCATAACTCTCTCTTTTCTTCGACCTTTCTCCCGTGTTAAGTTTAAACTCGCTTATTTCTACTAACGGTTTCGCGACTGGCTTTGGCTTGAACCCTTCCTTGTGGATAACGGTGCAAGGTCGGGCTTTAAAACTTGACTTCTCTTTCACTGCAGCCATCTCTTGGTCAACCTAAGAAGAAAATACCAATGATAAATCAACTAGTCCCAGTTTCTCTGCAAGAATCTAACGAACGGAACACAACGTGCCGAAATCATTGAACAGTTACCATTATTAATAGAAATTTTCACCACTCTAAACACAAATAAACAGTTTATATAGTCTGGTTTCCGTAGAACTTGTTCAATAATTTCACTATCAAGCATTATTTAAAATCAGCCTGCCACAGCTACGTATTGTTGCGTGGATCTTTCGTCTTCAACAATGCAGATGTAAAACTTAAAGTATTCTAATTCTCCTTTGGAGAAGCTGTACCGTGCTTAGTGGACATTCACTGAAACGCTACAAAGTACTGGTAACAAAACGTAAGTGACAGAAGAGCAAAACTGTGGCATACTTCATTCATAAGTCTTTAATCACATTTTGAGTTTAAAGAGAATTTATACTTTGTGGAAAATAGGTCGAAAAGCATACTTCAGCAAAATGTGTCATCGTTTTGCTATTGTGTGCCATAATTTAGCTGTAACAAAACAATCTAGTACCGTCACCCCACTTGTTAAATGTTAAAGAATCTGATGCCTTTAGCAATGCATTCAAGGAGAAAAGTGCAAGCAGTACCTGGGCGTTCCATTTCTCCTGTTTTAAGTTTCCGCGCTCGTCGGTTGCCAAGTTGAAAGCAGCAACTTCCGTGTGTTTTCCTAACTTTACTGGTATTAGATCTGGAGAAAGGTTTGGAAGAGGCTGTGCATGGAACTCTCTAGCCTGTAAAAGAGGCAATGTTGCATCAGTTTACATAAAATTTCGACAGAGTTATATGTATTCTCAAAAAGTCCCTTTTCACGGCATAGTTATTTATTTCCATGACACACCTTTTCTTCCACTATAATTATTTTCCACGTTGTTATTTAGTAAAGATGGCGGATGGTCGAGAGGAAAATAACCTAATTACACAGTATTCTAATTGCAATGCTTCAAAGAAGACATATCAGTGAATATGGATAGCAAACCGCGTGCGCAGATCACAAAGCAGAGAAATACAACTGAACTAACTTACACATTTTAGCTATATGTATCGTGGAAATAAGAAAGCGTGCCTTTACAAAAGAGTGCTCATTGGCCGTTGTGAGCCACTGTTATAATCGGCGAAGGAATAGCGAAAAATTGAAACACGAGCTTGTTATCGATTTGAGATGAACAGAATTTCTTAGGCTCGTTTTCATATAATGTATTTCGACGTAACTTACTAAGGTTGTTGCCGTTATATAACGACCAAATTATATAAAAGCTGCCTATCCTAAAGAATCCTAATAGAACGTAATTCATCGGAAGATATAATTTTGTTTTTGTTTCTCCCGAAACAATACCTTGAATTACGATGAATTACGATGAAATAGGTTTTTCGGTTTTCTTTTATGAACACTTTTTATTTATGGGGTAAATACAAACTATTGAGAAAGAAACTATGCTGTCATTTTTGTTACTGTAAAACTAGGACACAATAGTTGAATTTTCACAAGTTGCAGCCAACTTCAAGTACGAGTTGCAGCCAACTTCAAGTACGAGTTGCAGCCAACTTCAAGTACGAGTTGCAGCCAACTTCAAGTACGAGTTGCAGCCAACCATTGAAGCACTTGTATACAGATAAGAGCAAAAATGCAGGTGTCTTTTAGAAGAATAATAAGCACGATATGCACTTCTCTCTATTTTCCACCTACCTTCTCTTCATCTTCGTAGATTTTCAAAATCTTTTCCTGTTTTCTCTGAAACATTTCTTTGTCCCTAGACTCAAAACTGAACGGTTTCGGTTCCGTTACTTTGGGTCGTTTCTTAGCCGGGTTTGAATCGAGGGATGAATTTCTCTAAAAGGAAAAAACAGATTATATTTTTCAGTTATCTATTGATTATCTGTTGTCACTAATAAAAATAGAAATGATTAGAAATATGGCTAAACAGGATTATGCCACCGAATCAAGCAATCGCAACAACAAGGCAACAATACACACTTTCTCCACGTGTTCCCGCTCTTGCTGTTTGTTGGTCAATTCTTCCTTTTTCTTCTCTTCCTCGTGCTTCTTGCGATGCTCCAGCCTCGCATCGGAATTGAAGCTGAAGGGTTTCACCTCAGTCACAGGTAAGTGCTTGATTGGCTCGACTCCGTACATACCACTCATCTCGACCAACTTGTGGTTGAACTCTGTCGCTTTGAATTTAAAGCTGGAAAAAAATTGGAAACTGATAAAAGTGCTGTCCAGGAAATTTGTTCTTCTTTTGAATGAAAATGTGGCTAAACTAAATGCTTTATGATCCTTGTCCTTGACCAATTATCAATAGTTGGTAATAATTTGGCGAGGAGTGTTCAAAATACGAGACAATGCGTAGAAGGGAAACAGTGACTGGCAATACTAACGTTGAAACCTCCTCTGCGATCTTCTCTTCGATTTCCGCCTGACTGACAGTTGACACGGGTCTTGAACGGCCTTTTGTCACAAGCTGGGGCGTTTTAGGGTGGGTCAATTCCATCTTTGTTTTGCATTTATCGCTCATTTGGGGGCCAACGTTCTGCATATTTGTAGGACGTGATCTCCATCTGACGTAAAAAGGATTGGTTTTTCATCAAAACGTTTAGATAAGTGCATGATGATTTGATGAATACACAGCAAAATGTTTTTCCCTTTACATTAAGTTTTGATGTGTGGCATTACTTTTTTCAAGTGACCTTCGTTTTCCTTTTATTTTTTATGCTAAATTTAAATATTGCATATGACTTGTATAAAAATGTTGCTTTAGCATCATTTGCATCTAATGATAATAAAAATAAAAATATTAGAAAACAAATTAGGAGACAAAAAATCTATGAATATCATATTTATAAAAAAGTTCTGTTTTAGAGTCTTTGCTAAGTATGTTTCTTGATGTTTCAATCTACATGCATCATCTGAACAATTCTACCATCAAACAAATTTCTGTAGTTGGAACTCATTTGAAATTTTAGCCAGCTATATGCATACATAGAGAAAAAAACATTTTATCATTCTCTGTATACACTGATTTATTGCCTTCAGAAGCAATACCACAGAGTTAAGCAAAAAGCTCCTGGCAATTTATAAATCATGTGACCAGACATGAAAAGCTTCTTTGTTGCATAGGTCAATTTATAACTTGATTTGGCTGGTAACACAGACTGATTTTTGGCTTTTTACTTTAAAATCGCTTTGTTGTGCAATATTTTTGTAAGATTTCTTGGCCTGGTATTATTACTAAATAGGACTCACCTTTCTGGAGTCTTATTCTGGAATTCATTAACTGCTGTTGCAACTGATTTCCATTTTCCAGTTTGGTCTGATTTCCCTGGCTTCACTCCAGCTGAAAAGTTGAATGGTTGTGGTTTTGTTGGCTTTCTGTTCTTGAATTTCTAGATTAAACACAAAACATTGTTGTTATTCTGATTGTAAATTGAGACAAAGTGAATATTGGGAATAAAAAGGACCCCAGAAGAAGCTTTAGACAAATCCTAGCTATTTTTACAATTTAAAAAATTTACAATCATTGTGATGTGCTAGAAATATAAACAGAGGGTTTTAATTAAGTAACTCTTCTGAAGAGGATTCATGGTTGTGGCCACAACAGAATAATACTTCTTGGAAGGGTCATGTTATGAAAACAAGATGTTTATCTTCAAGAAAAACACCTGCCAACAAATTATAAAAAAACCCCAGCAATCTTATAACAGGAAGGAAGAAAACAAAAAAGACAGAAACGAATGGAAACAGTCATACACAGCAAATAAAAACAACTTACTGGTGATGGAGGATGTTTGCGCAGTTGATCCGTAAACTTCTCATTATCTGAAGCATCTGATCTTGTTTTCATTGGATGCTGTTTGATTCTTGCATCAGTGGCAAAATTGAATTCAATTGTTTTTGTCACTTCTGTGGCACGTTTGGTTTGCATGACTGCTTGAGGTGCTAGAGCTTTTTGCAAGAATGTCTCATTGCTCTTCAGTTTTTTCTTCATCTCATTTTGCAATGCTTTGATTCTTTCTATTTCAAGTGCTTCACTTGTCTTTTTAACATTGCCGTTTTTACCCCTCAATCTCCTGTTCAATAAAGTTAGATTAAAGCATTCAAATTGGAAAGTGAAAAAGTTCTAAAAGAACTTAAATATAGAAATGATGAATTTTTTTTAATGATCTTGACAATCAAATTTTTGGTAATATTGTAGGCAGCTAACATTTCAAATTTAAAAGCACATTTCTGACTAAGAAGGAATCTCAAAGATCCTTAAATTTGATTTCAAAGGAATCATGGTAAATAGGCAGGGGGTCCTTTTCTTTTGATGTGATCAGGTAAGCTGTGTGATTTTGGAAGTCATAGTTTACAACTGACTTTTGCAAAAACTGTTTGCCAAATCAGTATGGGGCAACTTTGTGTGATCAGTTTCAAACCAACAATATTATTGTGGCACAATGATCATTTCTCAGCTTATTTGAGTATATCCTCTTGATGGATTATGCCTTTAATAAAGATAACAGATGGTCGGTCTACACTTATTTTTTATTAAAAGAAACAAAAGTCGATGTTGAGTACTCCAGTTTCTAAGTTTCAAAATTCTAAAACTTAATTTTTTCTGACAGTCCAGTACTCGTTTCTTACAGCCAGTTTCTTATAAGCAAAAATGAGTGTATTACATAGTGATCATACTGTAATAAAAAGCTTAACATATTCTGGATGGCACTAACTAAGAACTTCAAGTTGATAATGCAATGTCAGAACAATTTTAAACTTTTTATAAATTGACTTTGAACAAGTTACTTACAATTGATTTTTCTGGGAAATAGAGAGTGGCTTGTACCTAAAGTCAGCTCATTTTTACAAAACAATGTTGCTTGGTCGAAACAATTATATTTTCCTATAAGTAAGGATAGCCCATGGAAATAAGAAAACAAACTCTGAGGCTCTGAAAAATACAACAATACCTTAGAAAAGATGGAGTATTTGGCATTGTTATCAAAGGTTTTTTCATTTCCATTTTTGGTTTCTTCTCTTCAACAACATCACCAATACCAGGTTTCTTTGCTTTTTCAGCGGATGCATTTTGATTCCATGAATGCTTTCTTTTCCTCAACGCGGAGATTGGTGTCCTTTTCTTTTGATCTGGTGTACAAGACCTATAAGTCAAAATGAAACAGGTAATCAGAAAACCTATTTATCATAAAAAGTCACTGTTATTAGAAAATTGTTCGCAAACATAGTAAAAATGGATCAAAACCATTTATAATTTCTTTTCACAACTCATTATATATATCATTATGCTATTTTGATTGAGCTATCAGTCCAGCATATAAAAATAAACTAATAAAAACAGTAACAAACTAATTTAATACCTTGTTGCCCTTTTTACACTTTTCTTCTTCATAGCCTCATCTTCACTGTGTTTCAATTGTTGGTCCTCGATGATTTTATTTCTGCCACTATCCTCCTTATTTGCGTCATTGCCAAGACTATTCTCGCTCGAATTGTCTGGTGTATTTTCTTTAGCTTTACCTAAATCCTGCTGTTCCTGACAAATAACCATACTTTGTGTGTTATCCGATTCGACATGAGGTACTTGATTTTCAATGTTTTGATTTGATTTGCAGTTACTTTCATTTTGAGCTGTTTCATCTCTGGAAACTCCTTCAAAGCCATCCGTGGCAGTTAGTGCAGCTGAAATAGCTTGTGTGGCCGCCTGGTAATTAAAATGCTGAGCAATGTAGGGGACTTGGCTAAATCTTATCCCACCTTCATGACCATCTGGATTCTCATCTAAAGGAAAAAGACATTTTCACAAGATACTTTGAACCAGTCACAAACAACAAGCAGCTGCAAGCCTCGGTGCGTTGATCGATCTGTCAATGGAAAACTAGCGACATTTCAAGAAAATTCGCACCCTCTTGCCCCACTCTCTCTTATCCTAACAGTCTAAATTTCTAAATCCATAAAATAAAAAATCTGTTGGACCTTGTTCATTTTCAAAAGTAATTTCAATCATCTTCTAATCATCTTCAATCGAAAGTAATTTCAATCAGCTAGTATATCGCTATTTAGCTTTGTGAAGACTCTCGTATACAAAACATGGTGGTGGTAGTGGCCTAGGTCGTGTCAATTGGTTTCTTCAGATAAGCGCTAGAAATATGTGCAATATTCTTCAAAAGAAAGCCATGGACTTCAAACGAAATTAACAATTCATCATCGATAGCTTGACAAGTATCAGGATTGCTTAGTTATACGATCGAGCTTGGTGCATGTGTTTTGGTAACAAAGACGTTGCAGGTCTAGTTTTTTTGAATCAACTGAAAATAATGAGGTTCCACAAAAAAATTACTGTGATCACTAAGCGAAGACTTCATTAAGCTTCAGGCTACATATCAACAAGATCGTCATCTTAGTAGTGAAGTCATATAGAAAAGTTTTTAGATCAAGGTAAAAAGGAGACTACAATCAATCGAGAAACGCGCGAGAAACCAGAATCCACTAACTACTCCAAATTTCATATACTCACCAAACCAGGTGTCAATCTGTTCATTTTCGGGTTCATTTGACAAGAAGTCGATATATTTTGGCGCATTAAACTCATAATCAGAATCAACCTCCATCGTCCAGCAGAATAAGCTTTAAACAGAATTTGAATTTTCAACAGCACAACAAATCCAGTCTACTCGCAACGCCTCTGTTTAAAAACTAAGTTCAACGACGATTTCAAAATAACTGCACATGTAGCATTTTGCCCAATCAGATAGCTATATTTCAAACAACTGCTATCCGATTGGCTAGCAGGAAATAATCGGAAACGAGGCTAGCTCCTTCTTAGTAGAATACTGGACCACATGACCTGAAAAATAGGAAAAAGGGCGGGAAGATGGAATGAAAAAGGACAGTGACAGTTTTTTTACAAATTCAAGGGAAACAAGTGCTGATTTCGCCAACTACCATGGTCCTTCGATTTAGCCAAGGGGAGCTTGTAATTGCGGGAATTTCTTTATGAGGGTTAGAGCTTATTCGCTTTTTTTTTTCAAAGTTTAGCAACGCTGCCTGAAAGCTCTGACTAAAAGCTTAATAAAATGTTCATCATTGCTATGGCAAGAAAGATTTTTCATCTGAAAAAGGAATATCGCTTCCAAGCTTTAAATTTTGAACATTGGTTACACTGGCAATTCAAATCATTATTGAACCTTCATAAGCTACTGCATGGAACGGTACAAATTTCCCTCTCCTTATAAGCAAGCACACCATCCTTTATCTGCAGATGATGGTTGCTTTAGCAACATGGTATCCTTGGTAACCATTGTTCATCATTCTAAAAAAGTTTCTTGGACCGTTGCGACTTCGTTCATGTTCCAAATTTGGCTTAAATAGCTTGAAGTTCAAGTGCAACAGCCATCGCCACCGACTCGATTACACTTACTGCCTGCCTATGGAATCAACTCTGCCCACATCTAGGCGCATTTTTTAAATTCTTAGCGGTAACAGAGTTTCCAAATAAGGAGGCTAAAAATCGAGAGAGATACATTGGATTTTGTTCTCAGAAATGTCAAAGGAAGATAAAACAGTTTTCTATTTTAATACATAAAATATACTTTTAAACAGTAACAAAAACGAGCATTTCAAGTCACAGCCCGACAATTACTTGAAAAATTTAACAACTTTTGGGCTGTCAAGAGGAGTTGGATGTCACTTTTCTTACTCTGTGGGAAGTGCGTTAGAGCACGATACTTCGCTTGTATACCATAAGAGGTTTTAAGGATTCATGATTATTTTAACTGCTTCTTTGACCCAATCTGACTAATCACCTGACTATAGATCAAATTCATGCTTCTACAAGTATCGTTAATACGGCATTCATCGTAAACAACAAACAATTATCACCAATATCACTGAAGAATATACATTTGATACTAAGTAAGACCACCCCAGCCAGTTTATGCTGAATCTTGAATTCCTGATCAAGCATGAAATTGTCAATGTCATTAAAGTAAAGCCTTTGATGCAGAAATAATCTTTTCAGGTTAAGTTCGGCGCATGTCTCAAATAACGGAGCACCGGTACACTATTAGAAGGTGTATTATCGAAGAAAGAACAACAAACTTCGGATCAAAAACCTCATGGCCTTCTTTTCAAGAAACAGTTTTGCAAGGTGTCAAAATTAATGTCAGAACTAACTGTGATTTCACTTTGATACCACTGTCTATTTACAACTCGTGCATTTTAAACTTTTACTCATTCGAACAAGAATTTCAGGTCCCTTAACAATCTCCTAACAATCCGCATTTTTTGTTCGAACTTTCTGCGAACTTTAAGCAATAATCAATATTATCTTAATTAATAATTACTGGTGGTTATTGAAGTCGTTTCCTTCAATAGTGGGAAAATGAAATGACCAGTTTGAGGAATCTTGGCCTGCCCAGTGTGACGCTCTGGAAACTAACGGCATTGCCCATTTTGCGTTGCTTTCTTACGAAAAGACCAAATAAGTTAACTGAAACTGTTTTTTGTTTACAACTGCTGATGTAGCTAAAAATTGAGGCCAAATGCAAAACTCGAAAAAACTTTGAAAGAATATTTTGAAAAACTCGCATAAACCGAGCATTTTATAATTCGAACATTTTGACAATCCTTTAAACAAACATCTCGTTACTCGAGAAAAACAAGCTTTTTAGCCTTTTAACTTACGCTCCTCCTTAAACTGAGCTCCCACCTCCATCTCTGTAACATAAATCAACATCCCCGTGATTATTTAATGCATTGAAGTATTGGGCGGAGGCAGATTTCAACAGTTTCTAATGCAACCTAAGAAATATTAGAAGGAGCCACTGTCTTAAAGAGTGTGTCTCAAGTTTGCCTATCATTAAGATTTTTTGGAATAAACCGGGACAAATAGAGGTCGCAAAAATCCTGCAATAACAAGCCATGGGCGATAGGGCCCAGGGTTGAATCAGAATTCAGCACCTTGCAAATGCTCTGATTCAAAAAATTAACAACATATATTTGCATAAACATATTTCGTGGCAATCTTTGGGAACAAGCAGGTAATTTATTGGGCAAGCTTTGGTAAATTGTCTGATAAGCATGGCCCTGGTGGTTTGGAAAACTCTATGCAAAATGGAAAACTGTAATGATTCTGAGCCTTCAACCCACAGCAAAAAGACACAGTTTTTGTATCGACTGCCTAAATTTCAGGGCCCGCCCCACTTTTCTTAAACTAGAGGGTCCAGCTATGTAAAGAATGTTTCCTCTTCCCCCTCCAGACCTAATTCTTTTAATCTAAAGGTTTAACTTTATAAATACTTTAAAATGTATTTAGTCTTTTATTTAGCAAAAAGGTGGGGAAGGTCGTGGCCCTCTGCCCCCTCTCCTTTGTGGCGTGGGCCCTGCATTTCTACTAAGCCTCAATAGCCTAATTTACCTAAAAAATAAGACATTGATCGGATAGAGCATTGATCAACATAACAGCAAATTGACATGGAACCCCAAATTGAATCGACTCGTAAATCATTTGGTGCAAAAGTGACAAAGTTAAGAAATCAGTGAAAGCCTATTTAAAGAATTAGAGAACATCCATGTACAAGCTGCAAGAGTAATTAAGAGGATTCCACCAATTGTGAAAGACAGTGAGGTGTTGAATGCATCAAAATGTGACTCTTTAAGCTACCAAAATAAAAGAAGAATCCTCATGTTTATGTAAAAGTACAAACTAAAAAGCCTGCTAGCTTCCTTCGATTTGCTTTTTGAATCAAAAACGGAAAGACACAGTAGCCGGTTGAATCATACACTCAGGATTCCTAGGTACAGAGCAGAAATTGTCAGAAACTCAATTTCCTTTAGAGGTCCTAAGTTGTGGAATCCATTAAGCGAGGAAAAGAAGAATTCGACCATTGAAACGTTTAAAAAACATCCTTAATATGAACGAAAGAAGACAAATGCCATTTCATTTACTAAAGGAACGGGACAATTTTTAAAGAAAGATTCTGATTTTATATATATTTAACTTTAATGGAAACAATGGAAATAGGTCGTTTGTCTCTACCTTTGTTGTGAGATATTATCTGTGTTTGCCTAGCAGACAGGAGGTCCACATCAGCTTGCTTAGCTGCCAGTAAACGAACCTCCTTATAAAATAAATATGTATGTAAACGAACCTCCTTATAACGTTGTCGTCACTGCTTTATACGCAAGGCTCAATTCTAAAAGTCTAAATTACAATGCAGCTATAAATTATTGTGATTATTTGTTGGTATAAGAATCCATAGATGTGATTTCGATCCAACGATTATTATAGTAACATTAAATCTTCACTCAGAGGACCAAGAATAAAAGAAAATTAGAACGAAAGCGAGGAAGCAAGGCAGTTAGGCCAGTCTATAAATTCATAAGACAAGCAATTTCTTATTATTTAAGCTTTTCTGTTACAAGATTGAATGCCTGTAGTTTCTTTTCTGTATCCTGGCACAAGACTAACTCATTAACACAATTAAGAAATATAAAGATATTCTCAGCAAAATGACTAATTTTGATATATTATAGGCTGTAAACATAGACAAATGATTACGATAAGGTCAAGAAAAGAATTATGTGAAGAATTATGATATTGAATTTTCTATAAAGAAGTATCCTATGTCATGAAATCCGTGATTTCTCAAGGGGTGGAGTTCAAAATTTAGATCTTTTAAACAGGGCACAGCAATGAGTCCATATAGGTTATAACTTGCAAAGTATCACCTGGAAGAAATTAATAAGGAGATGAAGATATGCTTACAGGATAGATTATGCTGACTTTGAGGTCAGACAATTGATACATTGGTTTTCTGAGAGAACCCCTCCCTTAAAGAATGCACGAAGCAATGTTACGGATTGAAGCTGATGTCAACATTGTCAGTTTCAGCAACGATACCTGCCCCAGCTAGTGCAAGTTTAGCCATCTACAAATAAATGTTCATTATTAACTAAAGTCATTAACAACAAGGTTGAAAAGGGTGATACAATGTCTTTCATCATCAGACCGCACCCCCTTTGGTTTTCTGTCGGCAAATCCAAGAAATATGTTTATAATATACGTTATTCAACTAATACCAAATTTTCAGTGTCTTTTCAAATGGCTCAAGCACTTGCTAGAAACAGTTTTGTCGCGTTTTGTTTTTACCTACAGAACGTCATTTTAGTTTGCAGATCTGCGCCACCGAACCATTTTCACCCCAGCTTATACCCTGTTTGCCAAATATGAAATTCACCCCTGCTCCATCGTATAAACCATAAATCATCCAGGCTTCACCATATAATCAGAGACAAGAATGCAGAAAACAACCAGGTTATAAATTAGATTGTATTCTGAAAAAATATTATTTACCAAGGGGAACATTGTTTAGAAAAGTACTGAGATAAAATCAGCTACTTACATGACAAAGCACAAGAAAAGGGCTGCGATTGTTTAGGGTTTTTAGGTCAGGAGAGGTCTACAGAGAAGCTCGTAATTCGACACATCTTATAGGCAAGAAAAGAATCTAAAAGGTTAACGGGTTCAAGGCAAAGACCACAAAAAACAATATAGTATTGTGATGAATCATTGCCGTGAGGAAAACGCAGTAATCTAGAAAGGGGGAATTACAGCAAATAATTGAACAATTTTTCTCTGTTTATACTCTCAGTTGACTTTTAAGGCCTTTCTGTGAAAGTCCTTAAACAATTTTTTAACGTGTAACAAAAGCACAGCTTTTTAATAATTTTTACAGGGAAAAGTCTACAAAATCGATCCAAACATAGGGTTGTCTCTTTCATTGCATAGAGGTTATCAAGCTTAGCCTTTTGAAACATCAAAAGTGGGTCAAACTGGATCAAATATACAAAATAAATAGAGAAATTACTTGAGACCCAGGATAATTCCTGTTCGGGTCGCCAACATGATGCTAAAACAGAACATCTATTGCTGGTAAAATTTCAATTTTAAAATTTACATCAAAGCCTAATATAAGCATTTATATATTGAATCAACAGACGCGGAATTTATACGGAGTCCATTCTTTGTAAATGTCGTTTTTCGTCCATAACAAGTCTTATTGTCATCATCTTCAAGTATTTTCTAATCAAGTCCGTCACGGCCAAATCAAAGACAGTTTCACCATTGTTCGTAGTTGCACAGATATTTGCACCCTTGTTGCAAAGTGCTTTGACGCATTTGATATTACCGGCGAATGCAGCGGCGTGAAGTGGCGTCCATCCGTGCGGATCCGTCATCTCTATATCTGCACCACAATCAATAAGAACCTCGGCACATTTGTATTTGTTTTCAATGGCAGCCAAATGTAACGCTGTTATGCCGTTGGCGTATAATTTGTTTAGTTCCTGGATTTTGTCACACAGGATAAGTCTTTTCAGGTCTTTATAATCGTTGTCCATTATACACACTTGGCAAAGAATATCCGATGGAAATGTAACTGACCTATTTCCAGATTTTCTGTCACCTTTTCCGTTCTGATCAGCTGGTTCTTCAGGCGTTTCTTCGGCTTTCTGGCTGCCCGAGAAGGACATAGATCGCTTCAAGATAGATCCTGAAGGCCTCATGAATCCCAAGTAAGATGGGAAGGTATATCGGCGCGTCTGTTGTGGAAAAACCGAATGTTCATCGCTGTCTGCAACTCTTTTATTGACCTGTTTTTGCTCAGTATCTTCTTCGCCTTCCAATCGAAAACGGCAGCCCTGCTGATTCTCCAACGCCTCATTGACTGCCAGATCCTCGGGTGAGGATTTCTGCTGGTCCTTCAAGGATTTGATTAGAGATGAACTTGGCTCTCTTTCATCTATTTTGTTTTTCGAAAAATTTATAGGTATCAGATAATCATTAATAAGGTCATTATACCCCAAAGCAACCATCTTTTTGACAAGTATCAAAGCAGTTTCCAAGCAGCCAGCAACATCAAGGGGTAATTCCCCACCATTGTCATAAACCATAACATCAGCTCCATGTTCCACTAGATACTTAGTCACCGTCGCATGTGATTTCGCTGAGCTCAAATGAAGAGCTGTTCTGCCTTGGAAATTTTTTAAGTCCAAACTTGCACCCTCACAAACAAGCAGCCTTACTGCTTCGGTGTTTCCCTTGGTGCAAGAAAGATGCAGCAATGAATTGCCGTCCCCGTCCAATCGGTCGAGATTTGCTGTGTCTCCGCAAAATGCCAGAAGCTGTTTCGCCGTTTTTATATCGCCCTTCTGCAGAAAAGCGGAAAACATCGCCTCTAGTTTTTCTGGAGTCATTCGATAGTAACCTGCTCTTCCAAAGGAGCTCTCTGTTAAAGTTGAAGCCATCTTGATGTTTAGAATCGAAACATAAGTCCGCTGCGATGAGGTCTGAACTCTGAGTTTAGACACAGCAAATGAGCTCTTGATATACGCTCTCAGCTTTTCACGTCTTTACGAAAGGATGACTAAACAAACCGCGATCTAGCCACAGGGTGGATCAACTGCGTAAGGTTTGGTTATTTGAACTCTCAACAGTTTCTCAACGGCTGACCGTAAGCAGCGCTTTTTTGCACTAGCACTTTGCACTTCAAATCGGTTTATGATTAAAATCAATAGTTTGGCTAAGAAGGTATAAAATCAACCACGTCATACGCGAACAATCAATGAAGAAAGAGAATTATATACAAATGGAAATGTATGGGACAATGTCTTAAGTCTGAAAAAAACTGGCAAAGTTTTCCAGATTAATTAACTACATTGTGTTATTATAAATAACGTTAGAACACAAGCAGTCAAACAGCACTTTGGAAAATGGATTTCTAGGGATTTCTAAGGAAAATGGGGGACGGTTTCACAGAAGAAACTAGCAATGTTTCCAAACAAAAGTTAGTTAAAAGATTATGAGCGTATCTAAGTGTTATGGGAGCTTTCCCTTAGATTTATTTGGTATAAATGTATTTTTATCCTTAGCATTCTAAATTATTTCGAACTTAAATTCTAATTGTGACGTCTTTAGTAAAACTCACTCAAGGATGAGTCAGGGAAGGAATGCAAGAGCGGGTTGAATGAGTAGTCTTTAGGGTAACTCAACTGTGTTGAGAAGCTAGGGGGAAATCAGTTTATGAAAATCTTGTCCACCTCTGGAGGATTTCCCACTTTCTTATCTGAAAGTTCCTGGAAATATTTTGTTTTGGTAGAAAAATTATTTGCTATTTCCAAGTCAATGCCCCTCGTTGAGAAGTGGAAACTGCAAATGCAACACGGTTTATAAATGGTAGTAAAATTTAAAACATTGTTTTCGATGACCATTCAAACAAAAAGTGAGGAAAAAGAATTATTATTATCATTAAAATACGACAAAAATCCAACCTATGGCCTGCCATACCTTTGAGAGATGGTTGCAACCTGATACAATTTGATGATTGCAATCAGATTCAAATCGAATGCAATCGGATGCAGTTTTGTCATGATTGGCATTTGCAATCAATTCAAATCGATTGCAATGTGATCACGGTTGGTGATTGCAATTAAATTCAAATCGATTGCAATTCGATGCAGTATGATCAAGACTGGTGATTGCAATCAATTCAAATCGATTGCAATGTGATCACGTTTGGTGATTGCAATCAAATTCAAATCGATTGCAATACGATGCAGTATGATCAAGACTGGTGATTGCAATCAATTCAAATCGATTGCAATGTGATCACGGTTGGTGATTGCAATTAAATTCAAATCGATTGCAATTCGATGCAGTATGATTAAGACTGGTGATTGCAATAAATTCAAATCGATTGCAATGTGATCACGTTTCAACGAGATACTGTATTCAACGAGAAAAGTAAACTTTTATCACTTGAGCATTATTTAAGGGCGGTAAATCTTCTATTCAGCGCCCCTTCTTTAAAGAGAAACACTTTGCTTGACGCCCTGAGCAATAAACGTTTCATCGCAAATTGTGTTCTGAAAATCTAAACTCACTTTTGCATGGTATCCAATGACTGCCATTGAACTTTATCTTCTTGTCTTAACACAACTTAACACCAATACTTTGGGTGGGTTGGCTTTGGACCGGGTACATATTTGACATTTGCTCAGATTTGTAATTCTATCGAAAGCTGTGCGTCTTCTTTGTTACCGCTTTTTTCAAATAAGCTATCCTTGAATAGAAGCACCCCTTGAATAGAAGGGCCAATGAACAGAAGCCGCAAGAATCTTGAGGGGAAATATATAGACGCCAAATATATAAAGAATTATCATTATCATTAAAATACGACAAAAATCCAACCTATGGCCTGCCATACCTTTGAGAGATGGTTGCAACCTGGTACAATTTGATTAAGAATGATGATTGCAATCAGTATCAAATCGAATGCAATCGGATGCAGTTTTGTCATGATTGGCATTTGCAATCAATTCAAATCGATTGCAATGTGATCACGGTTGGTGATTGCAATCAATTCAAATCGATTGCAATGTGATCACGGTTGGTGATTGCAATCAATTCAAATCGAATGCAATGTGATCACGGTTGGTGATTGCAATTAAATTCAAATCGATTGCAATTCGATGCAGTAAGATTAAGACTGGTGATTGCAATCAATTCAAATCGATTACAATGTGATCACGTTTGGTGATTGCAATCAAATTCAAATCGATTGCAATACGATGCAGTATGGTCAAGACTGGTGATTGCAATCAATTCAAATCGATTACAATGTGATCACGGTTGGTGATTGCAATCAAATTCAAATCGATTGCAATACGATGCAGTATGATTAAGACTGGTGATTGCAATCAATTCAAATCGATTGCAATGTGATCACGGTTGGTGATTGCAATCAAATTCAAATCGATTGGAATGCGATGAAATATGACAACGATTAATAATTGCAATCAAAATCAATTCGATGAAAATTCAATACAATATGATCAAGACTGATGATTGCAATCAGAATCAAATCGATTGCAATTCAGAATCAAATCGATTGCAATTCAGAATCAAATCGATTGCAATTCAGAATCAAATCGATTTTCTTATGATAAGTAAATGTCTGAGTAGTATCCCTTGGGTACAAAGCGTTTGCTTGCATCTCTCAATAAACACCCGTAGCTTAGCAACTAGTTTCCCCATCTGTATTCAACGAGAAAAGTAAACTTTTATCACTTGAGCATTATTTAAGGGCGGTAAATCTTCTATTCAGCGCCCCTTCTTTAAAGAGAAACACTTTGCTTGACGCCCTGAGCAATAAACGTTTCATCGCAAATTGTGTTCTGAAAATCTAAACTCACTTTTGCATGGTATCCAATGACTGCCATTGAACTTTATCTTCTTGTCTTAACACAACTTAACACCAATACTTTGGGTGGGTTGGCTTTGGACCGGGTACATATTTGACATTTGCTCAGATTTGTAATTCTATCGAAAGCTGTGCGTCTTCTTTGTTACCGCTTTTTTCAAATAAGCTATCCTTGAATAGAAGCACCCCTTGAATAGAAGGGCCAATGAACAGAAGCCGCAAGAATCTTGAGGGGAAATATAAAGACGCCACCCTTCAATATTAGGCGCCCTTTCGTGGAAGCAGCCTGAGAAATGATAGCTCAGAAAAAGTTGCAATCTTAAAAATTTTTTAAAGCCTGAAATTTACAACCAGCATAACACTTTCCAGTAGCAGCTTGACACATTAAGGGTGCAGATATCCATACAGTTTTTACCTTCTGGGTAAATGTGGCAAGTTTGCTATCTTTCTATTTCATAGATTTCTCAAATTAAATAATTCTGGGTTATTTAGGCTTAACCGGTCAAACTGTGGCCTACTTGGTTTCCTGTAATCCAACTACCTTGAAAAGAGTTGCATAAATTTTAATTTACCTTGATTGGTAAGGACATAAAAGGACCCCGTGCAGAGGCAAGTAAATTTAAAAGCAATATTTTACACTTGTGGCTGCTGAAGAAAGGCTTGGAACTTACTTAAATGCATTCATTTTCTATAAGCACTTCGGCCTGCAATTTGTTCTCAAATTTATTCTCTGCTTGCAAAAGGTTCCTAATCATAGGACACAGTGACGGGAAATTAATTTTGCTTAGTTGAAGAAGCCTCAAACGTGTTATAATCGATGCTAAGACAAGCATAATAAGATGAGTTAAAGTCAGCACAAGCGAATATTTAAAAGAAGAAAATTTAACAAAATTAGCTTTCTCATTGTGAATAGCACTGTTTCATATTTAAATATCACATTTTCACAGTGGGCCAAAATTCAAGCTCGAAATACAACATTTTCTCGAAGCCATCCTTCAACCGAGTTTTATGATGATTATGAATGGTATGAATCTCACTACATGAAGTCTGAGCAATTAAAATCACATTAAAGGTTCCAGTCTCATTCTAAACCCAAGAATATAGGACTTGTTGGAAATATGTTCACATTGGAAACAAAATAGCTCCTTGTCCTCAGATCAGCTCTTAACTTACACAAAGAAACGGTACCTGAAGCAAAATTGAGGTTATGACCTTGTTGGGGAGACGAACGAGCGAAAATCTTTAAATGTGTAAGGCAACCCTCCGTCATGGAATTAAAAAGCATGCGTAACAATAACTTCGTTCCAAGCGCATGCTCCTTCACTTCACTTTAAAATTTTCTCTAGTTCTGTCTCCCCAACAAGACCTGGTTGTAAGAATCATGAAGATACCTCGAGTTCCGGGGCGCAAATTAAAGCATTTTTGGGGGTGTTTAAGATGATTAGACAAAATTCTCTTAATAATCTGAACCCTTCTGAGCATTAACAAAAAAGAAAGTGTATTAAGAGAGCGTTTAAAGAAACACCCAGAGATCTCTACGCTGTAGTATATTTGGGATTAAACCTGACGCGTAGAAACGAAATGATCAAATCCCTATTATCTTTGAAACTGGTGATCATTTGGCACTTTTGAGGGAAATCTAAGAACAGAAGCAAGCAAATGAATCACATTGAATAGTTTGGAAGACAACAATGCAAAAAAAGACATGACCCTTTAAAAAAGTGTTTAACTTTGTTTAACTAAATTCGTTGTTGGGCAGAAATCAAATAAGTTCAATAAATATACCTTAAGTATTAGAACAAATCCTTTTATTATAGCTGCGAATTTCTCATAGTAAGAGAGAACCTATGTAATTGTGGGGGTCTCAGCACCGAAGGGGCAAAGGAACTTGCAACAAAATTGCATCGCACCATAAGGGCCTTAGGGAATCATGCGCAGGAGGGAACCAATTGAATTAAGAACCTTATCTCTGGCTGTGCTGGCCTTTAAGAGACCTAATAACCAGATCAATTGGTTTGTTGATTAACTTCTCGGACAACAGCCCCATTGTTGTCTCAAGTCTAATTTCCCTCAAAGGAGTGAAGTGTTTGTGTACTAGATAAGAAGAACAAGTATTTAAACAAAAATAGTATTGGCCTTCTACTCCATGATCTTTTCCCCCAAACAGCTGTGAAGTTGAGCAATGCTTATTCATTATGAAATTCATTCCTGTTTATGCCTTCTTTTTCGAGTCTAATTTTCTCGCAA